AACTTTGGACTGGTGTAATGTCATATACTCCACCCTCCAGCCATTTCCTCCACGAGAACCACCATTGCCAGCCTCCAGGTGAGGACTGGAGATCACCCAGAATTACAACTGTTGTCCAGGCGACAGAGATCAGTTCCCCTGGATAAAATGGCTGTTTTCGAGGGTTTAGTCTATGGCATCATACCCTGCTGAGGCTGCTTGCCACCCCAAGCCTCACTGTCCCAAGGCTCCACCCCCAAATCTCCAGGAATTTCTCAACCTGGAGCTGGCAGCCCTAAGGTGAATTGATCTCTGTAGCTGGGAGATCCATTGTGATTCCCAGACTGCTGCCACTGCTGCTGTGGGGGGAAAGGAACCAGGTGGGTGGCAAGGAGCACTGCCACCACTGCTGCTGCTGCTCTCGGAGTGGGGGAGGAAGCAGGCAGGAGGCTGGGAGAGTGATGCGGGCAGAAAGAAAGAATGGTGGGGTGGGGGCAGAAAGAGAGAGAAAGACTGATGAAGTGGGAAGGCAGAAAAACAAAGAGAAAGATGACAGGTAAGAAAGAGAGAAGAAGTCACATGCATGGGGGAGAAATAGAGTAAGAAAAGGGGGCAGAGGGGAGAAATAGTGTGAGAGAGGTAGGGGGTGAGGAGAGGAAGCAACGGTGTGATGAATGAGATAACCATCCCACAACTTTCTTGCGGGTCTCCACTTGTGACTTTCTAAAAGTATAGAATACAGACATACAGCAAAATACGGTACAAACATGAACTACTCCATTTGTTTCAACAGGGGAAGCAGATTTGTGCATACGTTCCCTTTAAGGGATAAAATATGACAAGCACATTTTAACAACAGGATTGTTTTTTGGGGGGCGGGTATTTTTTAATCAGGACACTTATCCTGAAGTCACTGCAATGCCTTTATTTTGGTGGAGTAATTCTACCTGCTGCCAGGAATCTGGTTCTAGAATAACAGATCATGCTTTAAATATCAAGGATTACCTTACAGGCCCAAAACCATTCAGTGCCTTGCCTCGCATTTTCCCTCTAACGTATCCTTTGCCACCTTGGCCTCTTCCTTGGCCTCTTGCCCCCCTGAAAATAAGAAAAGAAAATTAAATTCAGCTGCTTTTGTCCTAAGAACTAAGTACTCTGGCACCTTCTAATAAACTGCTAAATAGAATTTGCCTGTAGAAAAACAGCAATAGGTTTAGATAATTAGCTACCCCTGGACTACAGTGCTGTGTCTGGGAAACCTGAGCTCCATTCCTAACACTGCCAATGACTTACTTGGAAACTTCACTCAAACACCTCACATCATTATTAAAAGTTATTAAAAGGATTCTAAAAATCTTTGGGGTTTAAATTGTCCCTTACTTTTTCTTAGTTTCAGCAATGTCTGTATTTTCAGGGACAGATTCTGTCTTCTCCACTGCAACTTCGATTTCTTCTTCCATCTATTGTAAAAGAAACAAATTATGTTTTGATATACAGATTTATGAATTGATTCCCCTAAATGTAATGTTGAAGGTTCTTCAATAAAATGTACTGAAAACATCAATCCAATAAACTGACTGTTAGAAATTCTTATCCTTTCATCTATACCCTACAATGGAAATGTGCAAGTGTGGTTTCATACAAATAGTACAGATAGTCTTGAATCGATCATCACTAAAGAGGTAGCTAGAATGAATGATAGACCAACTTTGTGAAAAGTACATTCCCCAAATAATCACAAACTTTCAGAAAATTTACTGTGTGAGCAAAATGGCAGAGAGCTTTCCTTTTTCATATACTAGCATGTACACAGGCAGATCTGAGGTCAGTGGGAAGAGAGATCACATGACTCTCACATAATAGGCTGAGCACGAAGGCAGGCTACTGAGTGCTATGGAAACCTGAGCATTCAAATTGTAACATCCATCACAAACTATTGTTAAGCTACTCAAGGTATTATTGCCTACATAGCTCAATCAAATACATTGTTAGTGCAAACTGTGTGCTTCCAGAAACATTCAACTGAAAGATAACATGTTACATAGAATCATAGAGTTGGAAGGGACTTCCAGGATCATCTAGTTCTAGTCCATCTTCCTGCACAATGCAGGGAATTCACAAATACCCACCCCCCACCCCCAGTGACCCCTGTTCCATGCCCAGAAGATGACAAAAAACCTCCAAGATCCTGGCCAAAGTAGCCTGGAAAAAAATTATTTCCTGACCCCAAAGTGGCGATCAACATTTCCGTGGGCATGTAAGAAAGGGCCACAAGAACTACACACTGATGCAACCCTTCCTGCCCTCCCTCTCATTATCTGCCTAAGTTCACAGAATCAGCAGTGCTGTCAGATGGCAATCTAGCCTGTGTTTGAAAACCTCCAAAGAAGGAGAGCCCACCACTTCCTGAGGAAGCCTGTTCCACTGAGGAACCACTCTAACAGTCAGGAAGTTCTTCCTAGTGTTCAGCTGAATACCCCTGATTTAATTTCAACCCACTGGTTTTGGTCTAACCTTCTAGGGCAACAGAAAACAACTCTGCACCATCCTATATGACAGCCCTTCTTGAAGATGGTTATGAACAATTCAAAAACCAACTCTTGAACAAACTTTAGATTTTTAAGAGTTATATGAGGTAGTAAAATGGCACTACAAAGATAGCTATTAAATGTGAAACAAGCCATTTCAGAGGTCAAATTCAAACAACACCCCTAAATATTGGCAAGCACATTTGCATACAGGGCTTTAAATATTAAAAAACAGGTGATCTATGTAAGACAGAGTCCCACACAATCTTTTGGGCATGTCAAGAAGAATAGCTCCACTCTCTTCAACATATAGCCTATGTGGATCATAGGTCACTTTATAAATTGCATTTTTTTAAATCACGTTATGTAACGTTCTAACATCTTATCCATACCATTAATTTTTGTCTTATCCACCAACATCTTAAACAACTCCTCACCCACAATAACACAATTAGAGCCTCTGGCTCTAATCTTTGAGATTTCCTGGAGTACTGGTGCTGTGCCAGAAGACTGGAGAAGAGGGAATGTTGTCACGATCTTCAAGAAGGGAAAAAAGATGGACTTGGGAAACTACAGGCCTGTCAGTTTGACATCAATACCTGGAAAAATTCTACAGTAGATTATTAAGCGCTCTGTCTGTGAACACCCTGAATGTTAATTGGTAATAGCCAGCATGGGTTTATCAAGAATAAGTCATGCCAGACCAACCTTATCTCCTTTTTTGACAGAGTTACTAAACTGGTTGACTCTGGCAATGCTGTGGACATATGGACATAGTGTATCTAGATTTCAGTAAAGCATTTGACAAAGTTTCTCATGATATCCTTGAGGATAAGATGGTTAAATGTGGGCTGGATGGTGCAACCGTTGGATGGATTCATGGTTGGTTGAAAAATTGTACCCAACGAGTGCTCGTAAATGGCTCTGCATCTACATGGAGGGAAGTCTCTAGTGGATTGCCGCAGGGCTCGGTCCTGGGCCCGGCGTTGTTCAATGTTTTTATAAATGACCTGGAGAAAGACATAGAGGGGATGCTTATCAAATTTGCAGATGACACGAAGCTGGGTGGGATTGCTAATTCTGAAGATGACAGTTAGGATTCAAAATGATCTAGATAGGCTAGAACAGTGGGGTGAGACAGATAAAATGAATTTCAATAGAGAGAAGTGCAAAGTCCTACACTTAGGTACAAAAAAATCTAAGGCACAGATATAAAATGGGAGAGACTTGGCTTGACAGCAGCACATGTGAAAGGGATCGAGGTGTTCTGGTTGATCACAAGCTAAACATGAGCCTGCAGTGCGATGTGACTGCGAAGAAAGCTAATGCAATCTTAGGATGCATTAACAGAAGCATTGTGTCCAGATCATGGGAGGTGGTAGTTCCGCTCTATTCTGCTATGGTCAGGCCTCACCTGGAGTACTGTGTCCAGTTTTGGGCACCACACTTTAGGAAGGATGTTGACAAACTCGAGCATGTCCAGAAGAGGGCAACCAGGATGGTGAGAGGGTTGGAATCCAAGTCTTATGAGGAAAGGCTGAAAGAGTTGGGTATGTTTAGCCTGGGTTAGAGGGAACATGATTGCAGTCTTCAAATATTTGAAGGACTGTCATGTAGAAGATCGATTCTCTCTTGCTCTGGATTGCAAGACTAGATCTAATGAGTGAAAATTACAAGGGAGTCAATATCGGCTAAATATCAGGAGAAACTTCCTAACTGTAAGAGTGGTTGAGCAGTGGAACAGACTGCCTCAGAAGGTGGTGGATGCTCCTTCGCTGGACGTTTTCAACTGGAGGCTGGACGACCATCTTTTGGGTACGTTGTAGGGCTATCTTTCGGATATGCTCCTGCAGAGTGCAGGTGGCTGAACTAGGTGACCTGTAAGGTCCCTTCCAGCTCTAACATTCCATGATTCTATGAACACCTGCTTTGAAATGGTCACTGGTACTAGAGCTTGCAATAAACCCAGATGCCAACTTTGCTGCCGCATGCACCCAAAGAACACAATTACTGGACCTATCAAAATCAAGCTCATTTGCTTGCTCATCTTTTAACATTGTATATGCCATTAAATACTGACAATGTCTTTCTGTTCTCTGCATAGGGCAAACAGGTCAAGCCCTACACCAAAGGATAAATGGACACAAATCTTTTTTAATTATAAAAAGATCTAATTTATTATTTCCACAGTCAAATATCAAAACTTTCAGTCAGAGCAAAAGCAATCTATGCAGTTTTTATCAGTATACAGTTGATAAGGTAGAGTGCAAGCAACGTGGATAGTTTGAATGTTTATCTGTCAAGTGGTTTCTCCACTGCATACAGAGTTTTAGATAACAACAAAGGAAACAGTTATTATGATAAAAAATAAAAGCAAGAAACGAAAAGAGAAAAAAGGTTTGTTTTAGTTAAATATCCTATAAAGGAATGCTTACGCTAATAGTGTTACTGTTCTCGTCTTTCCTATACTCTTTTTTCTTAGCTTAAGGAGAATACGTAGTATAGTCTTCTGATAGTAAGTAGAAAGCGTAAGTATAGATTCTAGTGTAAGTAAATATTAACAGCAGAGTTATCGAGTTGGCAATGTCAAACTCCTAAGCGTAGTTAGCGTAACTGTGCGCAAAATTCTTGGCGCGAAAACAGTGAACCTGTGAACCGACTTGGGACTCAATCGTACTCCTTAAAGGGCAAGAACCCACAAACAGTTTCAATTTACTGGGGCTAAACCTCAACTCTCCCCCCCTCCCCTCTCTCATTATTTAAACATATTTTAATACAAACTCTTATGAATGCTAAGCTAAATAAATCTATTTGTATAACAACCTAAATCTAAGCAGTTAACTATAAACTATTGTACAAACAAAGCGGCTACATATCCCCCCACCCTGAGAACAAAGAACTGCCTGTAGCTCTTTTTACTTCGAAGCGTCTCGGCCCGGGAGTTTGTTCTTGGGTTGTGTGTCGGTGAGTCTGGTGATTCTAGCCACCGTTTCATCGATTTTCCGCTGGTGTCCATAGGCTCCAAAATCTGTAAAGCTTCTAGCAGGGCCAAGCCCGAGTCCTCATCTATCGCCTGCAGGGTGGAGCCGCGATGGGACACTTGAAGGCCTCCAGATGCCAACCAGCGATATCTTACATTGGCTTGTTGTAGGCAACACGTGGTCCCTTTCAGAGCTTTCCGGATTTTTAACGCCTCTTGCAGAACATCGGGATAGACTTGGATTTGGCAATCTTTATATAAGAGGTGACCCTTTTCAGCCGCTTCTTTTAAAATTCCCTGCCACGTCCTCCCATTGGCAAATTGCACTAAAATGTCTCTCGGACCCTTTCTCCTCGGGTTAGCCAAGGGACCCAATCAATACACTTTTTAGAATATTTGGCCAAATTGAAAGCATAAGCCAACCACGTTGCAGTAAAACAAATTAGATCAAGATTTTCTTCCTCCCCCTCCGGAATCCCGCGGAATTTTAGGTTTCATTGTCTCATTTGTGTCTCAATGGTGAGTATACGATTACTATGATTTGTTTCCCACGCTTGCAATTCTTTAACGTCCTCTTTCAGTAATGTGGACATATTTAACGCCGATTCAGCCGTGCTTGCAGTTTTGGCAAGTGTGGCTTGAATGTCCACTAGTGTAGCAGAAAGTCTCTGTTCCATTCTCTCCAGTAAGAGAGGGAGGTCTGGCTTTTTGGCTGAGGATCCGGAGGCCTCAGTTTGTGACTGATTAGCCGCCATTTTAGGAGAAGCCTCTCCAAAGTTTTCTGGGCATGGTTTAGATTTTTTTGGATTAAAGAAGTTTTTTGATGATTTTATGGCTGCTTTAGGTGATGTATGTTTAGGGACGTTATTCTTACCCATTCCTCGGTGGGTTTGTAGATTTTTCAGGTTTGTAGAGCTGATCTTAGAGAGGGGAGAGACGGAGCCTTCAAATTAAGCGACCGTCATGGTGCTCGACATCGCCACCCCCCCAAATGGACACAAATCTGACATCAAGAATCACAAAACTGAGAAACCCGTAGGAGAACACTTCAACCTTCCAAGACATTCAATGGAGGACCTCAAAGCAGCTGTTTTATTGCAAAGGAATTTCAGAAACAGACTAGAATGGGATATTACTGAATTACAAATTATTACACCTCTAAAGACAATGGAACCCCCAGGGCTTAACAGAGATATTGGTTTCTTATCACACTACACATTGCTAATATCATTCTGTTCTGACATCTGCTTGTAAACTCTTTTATTATGTTGCAAGCTATTCCTGTTCCTGTTATTCACAGGTCTCACTAATTGCCTTAATCCAATCTTAGCTATATTTGTTGCTCAGTTACTTATGCATCTTGACTCTAATTAGCCCTTTCTGGCAACACCCTCCACCTACATGTAATAGTTGGTGACTTCTGTTTCCATGGGAGATTTCCCACAAGCGCTGTTCCACGCTCACTCCTCCCTTTTGCCCCGATGGTACGTGTCAATTTCACACAAGCTGCTGCGCGGCTGCATTTTGCCCCGCAGCTTCACGTGATTTTCCCCGCATCTACTCAATCTTCAAAAAACAGGATTGAGTAGACTCGAGGAAAATCGTGCACAGCTGCGGGGCAAAATGCGGCTGCACAGCAGCTTGTGTGAAATTGACACGTACCATCAGGGCAAAGGGAAGAGTGAGCGCAGAGCAGCGCTTGTGGGAAATCACCCCATGTATCTGAAGAAGTGTGCATGCACACAAAAGCTTATACCCAGAATTAGACTTTGTTGGTTTTAAAGGTGCCACTGGACTCAAATTTTGCTCTGCTGCTTCAGATCAACACGGCTACCCAACTGAACCCACCAACTTTACAGTTACTCCAAAATCATATCCCACAACAGTGGAGATTTGTATAAATCATTCGAATACGAGACTGCATTCTGTAAGAACTGTTTAGCAAGGAATAAGAGACCGTTATTAAGGCAACTGATGCTTTCAGTTCAGCACTTACATTTTGACGGAACTATTTTTGTTTTCTACTGCAACAGTTTTATGCCTAATAAGATGCTAGTAATTCATGCCCCCAAAACAATAATGAGAGCAAGCCTCACTTTCTCACATGTTCCAGCCTACCTACTATACTATGCTTTTAGCAGCTTTTAAACAACTGAAGTCAAAGTGCGTGAAGACTGGTAAAAGGAATGCATTCTTAATGATAAAGTGGGGAGCTCCAATCCGTGTGTGCCATGGGTTGTACCTAAATCTGGGAATAGTAGTCTCCTCAGCACCCTCGTTCGTGATTTATTCAAAACGGGGGAAAGCCTCCCCGGCCCTGGTTGAATTCCTGCTACATTCTGTGACCTACGGTGAGCAGATCAATTAACTGGGAATACGAGCGTGATCTTGGTGTTCAACGATCAACGACTAACCGGCCACTCCTGAAATTCCGGCATAAACTGCCAGCGACAGGAGGCAACAGCCCAAGAGGGAACCTCTCCCAATGAGCGTGTCAGAGAAGAAACGGAAGCACAGCAGAATTTGGAGCTCGCCGCTTTTCCAGGCTACCCCAGAATAAGTGACAAGCGGAGGGGGAGGCGGAGGACAGCGCGCGCTCCTTTGTCACGCAAAAGAAATAACGTTGGTTTATATCCGCATACAATGGGAGGAATATTCTCACGATAACTGCCTGACTGGATAATCTGTGGGCAATGAGGGTAGGGCTGCGAAGGGCTCTCATGCTTTTAAATACTCCTAGTCAAACCCCTGTTGGGGACGATGACAGCATTTCACAGTCAGGGCTGAAAGTGGAAGAGGGATTCCCCTTCTCTTATTCGGCACTCGTGGGACCTCCACGTTCCGAGGCAGTATACCGCCGGGTGGGGGAAGAGATAAGGGCAAACCACCGCTTTCACGAACATCCAGAAGCTGACCAGCACTGGAGACAGAAGGCTGGACTAGGGGGACCTTTTAGTCTGAGCCAGTCCTTACGTGGCAAACAGAGAACAATTTAAAAAAACAAACCACCACGGGACAAGACAGCACTTACCATCACCGCTCGGGCAAGCGCGGTGTGCAGCGAACGCCAGCCCCAGCCCAGTTGAAAGGTGGGAGGAGAAAGCGAACTTCCCCCCCTTCTCGGGTTCAGCCCACAAACAAAACGCGCTGAAAATGGCGCCCGAGAAGGTCACAGAGAGAACTACAACCCACGCCCTCAATGGACGTGCTTACCTCTCTCTAGACGCCACCGCCGCCAGCCCTCCCTCTGGCCCCGCCCACTGCGCCCTGGATTTAACACCAGGCTCTGCGGAAGAGGGAGGGCGAGGGGGTTCTTTGGCCCTAGAGATGTAGGGAATGGCTATGCGGATCCCGCCCAGAGTAGCTTAAAATAGCAGTCTTGTGGCGCTTTAAAGACTAACAATACTTTGTTTCCACATACATTTCCGTGGACCACAGCCCGCTTTTTCACATGAAATGAGTAAATCTTCATTATGCAAGGTCTCATTGCATCTGAAGAAAGGGTCTCTGTACTTCTTCAGGGTTAACAACGTCCTTCTGACTTGCCCGTCTTCAAGTCCCACAGAGCTCCCTGGGGCATGTTTCTGACTAAAATAGAACAAAAGCGCAGTTGTACTTCAAATTATAGATCCAGGTGGGTAGCTGTGTTGGTCTGAAGCAGTAGAACAAAGTTTGAGTCCAGTGGCACCTTTAAGGCCAATAAAGTTTTATCCAAGGTGTAAGTTTTCGTGTGCACACACACTTCCTCAAATAACAGTGAAATGGAATTTAGCAGTCCATACATATAAGCAGAGGTTAAGCAAGTTCCATTTCACTGTTATCTGAGGAAGTGTGTGTGCACACAAAAGCCCTACTTTGAATAAAACTCTTAGTCTTAAAAGTGCCACTGGACTCAAACTTCGTTCTAATATTTAATTATGTCACAGGTCACTTTCAGATACTTCTGGGTAAAGATGAATAAGGTTTGTTGAATGTCTTCTGTAATTAACCAGATCATTTAATCACAAACATTTGAAAGTAATAAAAGAAATCTCAAGGCTCCACGATTTTTGAAATGTTACATATATAAAAGATAATAATCAACAGCCACTCTCCTTCTAGTCTACTCTTAGTAGTCTAGTAATCTAGAGTACCGTTTCCATCCCCTCTCACATGTGATGTGCCAGCAAAGTGCCTCCATTCCTGAGGACTGGAAGGTAGCTAATGTCACTCCCATCTTTAAAAAGGGTTCCAGAGGAGATGTGGGAAATTACAGGCTAGTCAGTCTGACATCAATACCGGGTAAGCTGGTGGAAACCATTATTAAGGAAAAAATTAGTAGGCACATTGATGAACAAAAACTATTGAGGCAGACTCAGCATGGGTTCTGTAAGGGAAGATCTTGTCTCACTAACCTGTTAGTGTACTTTGAAGGAGTGAACAAATATGTGGACCAGAGGGACCTAATAGATGTTGTTTACATTGACTTCCAGAAAGCTTTTGATAAAGTTCCTCATCAAAGGGTCCTAAGTAAGCTCAATAGTCACTGGATAAAAGGACAAGTCCTTTTGTGGGTCAAAAACTGGCTAAATAATAGGAAACAGAGAGTGAGTATAAATGGGCAATTTTCTCAGTGGAGGGTGGTAAGCAGTGGGGTACTGTAGGGATCAGTACTGGGCCTGATGCTTTTTAACTTGTTCATTAATGATTTGGAGTTGGGAGTAAGCAGTGAAGTGGCTAAATTTGCAGATGACACAAAATTGTTCAGGGTGGTGAGAACCAGGGAGGATTGTGAGCCACTCCAAAGGGATCTATCGAGGATGGGTGAGTGGGCGCCAATGTGACAAATGGGTTTCAGTGTGGCCAAGTGCAAAGTGATGCACACTGGGGCCAAAAATCCTAACTATAAATGCACATTGATGGGGAGAGACTGTCCAAGAGAGGGATCTTGGAGTTGTAGTAGATAACTCATTGAAAATGTCTAGACAGTGTGCAACTGCAATAAAAAAGGCCAACGCTATGCTGGGGATCATTAGGAAGGGAATTGAAAACAAATCAGCCAGTATCATAATGCCCCTGTATAAATCAATGGTGCAACCTCATTTGGAATACTGTGTACAGTTCTGGTCACCACACTTCAAAAAGGATATTATAGCATTGGTCCCAAAGACTGTTTACACCCTATATTCTCAAACGAAGCCTAGGGACAATTAGAGTACAAAGTTCAAGGGAGAGAAAGGATCCCAAGGCAGGGGAAGCCTTCCTCCGTAGCCATCAGGGTTTTATAGCATTGGGGAAAGTGCAGAAAAGGGCAACTCGAATGATAAAAGGGTTGGAACACTTTCCCTATGAAGAAAGGTTAAAGCACTTGGGGCTCTTTAGCTTGGAGAAACAACAACTGAGGGATGACATGATCGAGGTTTACAAGATTATGCATGGGATAGAGCAGGTAGAGAAAGAAGTACTTCCCCCCCCTTCTCACAATACAATAATTCGTGGGCACTCAATGAAATTGCTGAGCAGTCGAGTTAGAATGGATAAAAGGAAGTACTTCTTCACCCAAAGAGTGATTAACACATGGAATTCACTGCCACAGGAGGTGGTGGCAGCTACAAGCAAGGATGGCTTCAAGAGGGAATTAGATACGTTTATGAAGGTCCATTTGTGGCTATTAGCCAAAAGGTATAGATAGGAACTCTCAGTCTGGGGCAAGTGATGCGCTGTATTCTTGGTGCTTGGGGGGGGGGGCAACAGTGGGAGGGCTTCTAATGTCCTGGGCCCACTTCTGATGGCACCTGGTACTTTTGGCCACTGTGAGACAAAGTGTTGGACTGGATGGGCCACTGGCCTTATCCAACATTGGCTTCTCTTACGTTCTTATGTTTCAAGTACTTATTGTAGCATCCCAATATAATGATAGCAGTTGAGATAGGGCAATTCCACATCTAGCATTCACTCCACATTTTTTCAACTGGGAGGAAAAAGTGCAGCTCAACCATACTGACTTCAAAGTAACCCCTGAACGGCCATAAAAATCCGACGATACCATAAATTCCGATGATCAAAGGAAGTGAAAGCAGCATGCAATGCAGAGGGCAGTTTCTGTATCAACAACGGAGGAAAAAGCCAATGCAGAATCCGCCATAGTTAGAAAGTCTCCCAACTTTATTTTATTACATTTTTATTCTGCTCTTTGAACAAGGAGTTCTGGGCGAGCCGCAGGGGTATTTTTTTCTTTTAACCCCTGGTTGGTTGGTTGGTTGATTAGGCTAATAGGTTTAAAGTGCGACTGGTCCCAAATCACCCATGGAGCAGGGATTTGAAATTGAGCCTCTTACTCCAGTTTAAACCCATTGATGGACTTAGATTGGAGAAACTCTGTATAGGATTGCACTGTTAATCATTGCACCACACTGCCTCTTGCCATCTCCAAGTCTTATTAAAGCCAAATCCTATGCATATTTAGTCAAAGTAAATCCCACTGAGGTCAAACAGGTTAGCTGTCATACAAAATCCTATACTTGTAGATAGGATTTTCATCCTTGATCGGTTATTTTCCTGACAATTCGTTCAAAGCATTCAACCTGGACCAATACTATTCGCAGCTACGAAAGCGGAAGTATTTCTCAATATAACCTTCTAAAAATAATGTATTTTAATGCTAATCTATAAAAGTAATTGTTTTAAGCGTATATTTGGGAGGGAAATGAAAGATTTTACAGCCAATAACACTATGCAATATGAACGTTGGTGGGTTTACGACACGAGGCTATGCTAACAGACATACGCCGTCGGAACCTCTTCCTTTCTCCAGAAATAGCGTGAAACCCCGCCCAGTGTCGTAAAATAGAGAAAAGAGGCGAGCTTCCGATCGTAAAGTGATAGGACTGGAGTTTCACGTGGGTCCTGAAAGAGGAAGCGGGAGAACATGGGGAAGAGGAAAGCTCGACAGCAATGCCAGCAAATGATCAGCAATTTGAGTAAGAAGCAAAAGAAGCATCTCAAGGATTTCGGGGAGGAGCATCCTTTCTATGATCGGTGAGTTTGTAAGGGCTTCTGAGTCCTTCTCCTGTTGAAAGGTTTGTTTGCCGACGGGAGCGAGGACGTCTCTCCTCTTAGGGTAACTGCCTTTTACGGATTCGCCGTGGCATCTCTCTCAGCCGGATTTCCTAAGACATGCTTTGCTCCTGGAGATAATCGCTGTTTGCGGATAGGATCTGGAAGAAGTTTTTAGCTGTGCCGTTTGAATAGCTTGGGGAGGACCAGCCCAAGGATTTTCTGTGTGCTAAATTTATTTCTTGTCCCTGCTTAGTGAGAAGTGTGTTAAATAGCGTGTTAATTTATAGTACAATAGTGTAAAGAGCTACTATTGAAACTAGTTGGTTAAGATTGCAGAAACTTTGCAGATGACTGCTGTGTCAGAGTTAACTGGTATATATCCACATGTGCCCTGCATTTTAATATTCATTTCTTTTCTTCCTGGTTTAAGGCACGGACGTCTGTTAGGCTCTAATCAGGACATCAGGAGTAGTGATGTCCAGTAACATCCCCTTCTTATGACAAGGTCCCCTCCAATGCTTAAAAGATGCTCTATGTTTTAGTTATTTATTTACAAAATTTTATCATGCCTTTCTGCCCTTACAAGGGCCACCAAGGTAGCCAGCAATATAAAACATATGTGATAAAATCACATTTTAAAACAATTGAAATCAGCCCCCCGCAAAACATACATCATTAAAATGATTTAAAAACAGACTTAAAAAAGTTAAAATACATACAAAACATAAAAACACTGGTTAGGAAGGAGGGGTCATTGAAGGAATGCCAAATGAAACACAAAAGTCTTCACCTGCTGGTGGAAGCTGTCAATAAAAGGGGCAGATGAATCTCCCTGGGGAGAGGGTTCCAGAGCTTTGGTGCCATGACCATGTAGGCCCTCTCTTGGGTTGCCACCTGCCTGATTTCAGAAGGCAAAGGCTTCTGAAGATTACCACAACAGTCAGGCAGGTTCATAAGGGAGTAGGCAGTCCTTCAGGCATGTTGGTCGCAAGCTATATAGGGCTTTGAAGGTCAAGACCAGCACCCTGAATTGTGCCTGGAAACAAACTGGGAGCCAGTGTAGATGGGCGAAGACTGGAGTGATATGGCTCCTACAACCCACTCCAGCCAGCATCCTGGCTTTAGCTTTCTGTACCAATTGACGTTTCTGAACACTTTTCAAAGGCAGCCCCACATAGAACATATTGCAGTAATCTGCCCAGGAAAGGCTTCAGCTGGCTAACCAGTTGAAGCTGATAAAAGGCATTCTTGGCAGAACTGCCACCTGCTTATTCAGCAGGAGGAGGCCCAGGTCCATGACCTGCCCCCCGATTACAGACCTATTCCTTCAAGGCGGGATAGCCCCATCTAGAATGGGTGATACCTTAAATCCTGGGTGAGACCTTCATAGCAGTTCTGTCTTGTCAGGATTTAGCTGCAGGTTATTAGCCCACATGCACTCCAGGTACTGGTTTTGTTTTTGTGATTGCTTTTTGAGAGAAGTCTTCATGCCCAATGATTTACTTTATCTCTGCAAACTGTTCATTGGATGGTAAGGATGAATTAATGTAAATGATTTCTTTTCAGGGTTTCTACGAAAGAAGAACCAACTCAGATTTGTGAACTGGTAAGAGGGTGTTTCTGTCTTTATTTAGATCCCTTTCGATATTTATTTGCAAGTGAATGGGAAACACCTTTGCACTGGATGCGGCTAATTCTGGTGTAAGCCACTTTGGGTCCCCATTGGGGAGAAAGGCAACGTATACATGAAGTAAATAAATAATTCTGTATAATGGTATTTTTAAAAAGGCTGTCTGTCCTCAATTTCCCCTTGAACAGGATTTCACCCTGAATACAGTATCCCTTTTGGGTTGCTACATACGAAACATACATACATAAGAAAAGTTGATACATGTCCAGTGGCTGCACAATACATTATCTGGCATTTCGCACAGAACTCGACATCCAGAAGATTTCAGGGTTCCCCTTGTCCTCTTCAGATGATGTTTTTCTAGCACTCAGGGCTCCCAAGGAAAACTTGAACATTTAAAAGGCCAGAGGCAGTTTGGGATAGCTGGCACTACCTGACTCTCGATCACCCTTTTCTGTTATACAGCTGGGCATTATTTATTTATTATGTTTCTAATAAGCCACCCAGCTCAAGGTGGCTTACAAGTAAAACAATATCAAATCAAGCCATTAGACATAAACAGCATTAAAACTATCCATAAAAGAAAAACATACCATTCCAAAGGCTGGTAAAATAAAGCTGCTCATTAAAATTCCAGATAAGGGGTAGGGGAGGGGCTTTTGGCAGCAAGGCTGGAGATGGGAAGGCCCAGAGGATAAATGGGAATTTTTTTAAACAAACACATTCCCCTCCCCCTTTTTTATGGAGGCCTTTTTCCAGTTTTTCCAGTGGGAAAATTGGAAATGTTGGGTAGTACTGAAAGAACTGTTTTCTTTTTTAGAGTGAACGAAGTGCTTTTAAAGATAAGGTGGGCATGCTGTAGACATATGCAGCTCTTAAATCCAAGATGCATTTCTTCCCCTAGGTCCCAGAAGGATACCTAACCTTCATGATGGAAGCATCCAGGGCTTTCATCACTTCTCAACTGTTGCATGCCTTCTGTTGTCTTTTTGACCTGACTCTTCCCTTGGGTTGCCCTTTTCACCTCTTCCTCAAACCACAGTGACACATACACCCACAGAGTTGGGAATAAGTAGCTTATTGCCCTACCTTGCTGGAGGGAAAATAGATCAGAATGAGGTGGGGCAGAAACTGCACCAAAGCCTCTGAGGAAAACTCTGAAAGTTTCGTTGAGAACTGAGCTAGCTATACCCAGTAGCTAGAGAAGGAAGAAAACGGCATCTAGCTGGAACTACATACAGCTATGCATATACAATTACTGAAAGCTAAGAGTCAATTTATTGTAAATTCAGCTGTATTCATAGCTTAATAATTGTAGTTCAATAATATATTTTATGTTATTTGCTACAAAACTTGTATTTTATGTTTTTAACTCTTGGTTTTTTCTGGTTTTCAGATAGCACATGTACCTTAATTTTTGTTAAGTTAGCGTAAGGTACACGAGCTTGCATTTTTCTCTCAACTATTGGGGATATTTGCAGTTTTGCTTGCAAAAAGCTAAGGCGTTTATCACTTTTAAATTTCATAAATATGTCAGATATTGCAACTTTATATGTCTAATAACTTATAAATGATGCATGTTATGTTGCTAAAGCAAAAAAAAATAGTTTAGGTTTGATAAGACAGTACGTGTTGCATATATATTAATTATTCCCCAAATTTTAATTTATTTCTCAAAAGAGGGGTATGGGGGAATTGTTTTTCCGCAACTTTAAAGCTCTAGGCAGGGTGCTGCTGTAGAAAGTGCTTGTCTCTAGTCATCACCTGCCTTGCCTCTAAAGGCAGGGGCACAGAGAATAGGGCTTGAGAAGCATATTTTAACTGGCAGGTTGGATAGTATGGAAGGAGATGGTTGTCCAGGTATGCTGGCCTCAAGCCGTTTAGGGCCTTAAAGGTAAGATCCAGCACTTTGAATTGTGCCAGGAAACAGATGGGTAACCAGGGCACATCTTTCAGCACAGAAGTGATACGATCTCTGTAGCCAACCTGTGACAGTAGCCTAGCCAACCCATTTTGAACCAATTGAAGCATCTGGACCATTTTCAAAGGCATTCCTACATAGAATGTATTATAATAATCAAACTTGGTTGTGATCAGAATATGGATCACCATGGCCAGATCATGCTTTTGAAGAATGATTGTAGCTGGTGAACCAGCTAGAACTGATAAAAGATGCTATGTGCTGCAAAGGAGACTTGAACCTCCAACCGCAGGCCAGGATCCAGTAGCATGCTGAGCTAGTTACCTGCTCGTTCAGGGGAGCACAACTACCTCTAGGATAGGTTGACTCTGCAGTCCCCAAGCAGCTTCTCCATTGACCAACAGGTGGATGGAGCTTCAGTTTATTGGCCCTCATCCATCCCTTTACCTTCTCTGGCACCTATTCAGGACTTTCACAGGAGAAAAGTACATGTTGTAAAATGCGCTTTCAGTGCACTCCTAAGTAGGGTCTCAACATGGCCAAATCTGTAAGTATTTAAATCAAGAGATTGGGGCCTTGAACTGACAAGACAGATCTTTCTACAAATCTGAAAAAAGCCCCAGTTTGTACCTTTTAAAAACAAATGCCCCTCAGTGGCTTTTTCTAGGCAACCGCACTGTATTGTCAGCTTTCAAGCCTTGGTTTCTGCCCCTTCTCTGGCTTTTTTTAGCAAACGGGAAGGGGCAGGGCCCTTTCTAGGGCTGTTTTGACCTTTGAGGAAGGACTCATGGGGCCAGGCCCAGCTGCAACCACTGGGCAGTTTGCTACTACCTGACCTGGCACTTTCACACTACACTTTCAGTCCACTGTGCCACTGGATTTTACTGTTTGAAATGGCAAAATCCACTTACAAACAGTTCATTGAAAGTGGATTGAAAATGCATTATGCAGCATATGTGAAAGCTCCCTTGCATGACACACCTAGGCTGAGCTGCTTGCTACTGTTCAAAAGTAGTCATTCCACAAAAGCCAGTGGGGTGTAGTGGTTAGAGGTTTCAGACTAGGATCTGGGAGACCCAGGTTTGAATCTCCCCTGTGCTATGGAAGTTCATTTGGTGACCTTGGGCCAATCACACACACTCTGCCTAACCTACCTCCCAGGGTTGTTGTGAGGATAAATTGAAAGAGAGGAGAATGATAGATGCTGATCTGGGTCCCCATTGTGGAAAAAGCCAGGGTCAGGTGGCCAGACCCAGAAGTAAGCTCCAAAGGCATTTAAATGTCTTCAGAGCTCATTTGGGTGGGGCCGTGGGCTGGTGGTGGGCTCCAGCGGCATTTAAATGCCTTCGAGGCTCACTTCCAGGTGGCCCACCAGACTGGGAAATAAGTTGTGAAGGCATTTAAATGCCTTTGGATTCCAAGAACATGCCTCCCACAAACTTCACGAACCTCCATGAAAAACACGTTCTCCCAAACCCCTGGTTTGTGAACCACAAACTGGCCTGGTTTGTGCTTGAACCAGGGTTCGTTTGGGGGTTTGTGCCCATCCCTAGTCTGTATCCATGGTCCATGGTTCAAATCCTGGCTCCACCAGTTACAATTATCTCAGGTAGCAGTATTTCGGGTTGGGAGCGTGGCTGCAAAGAATAGCAAGCTCAATGTGCCAATGGTCTGACTTGGTGTGAGGCACTTCATATGCTATATATGTGAAGTAAGAGATTTTTCTTTTCCATTTTTAGTCTGACAATTCTGAGCCATCTGGCTCAGAAAGCGACGCAGAGAGTGATTCAGAACAGGTCTCTGTGTATCAGAAGTTACTGGCCACATTAAAAGCTGCTCCACATTCAGACAGTGAGGAAGACGATGACGACGACGATGATGATGATGATGATGATGATGATGACTCTGAAGAAGGAAATGTTGAGGATCCGATAGAAACTGACACTGAAAAGTTCCAAGATGAGGGAGAAGATAGTAATGGTGATGTTCCTGAGCAAGAATCGGGTAATTGTTTGTATTCATATATGTTGATTTGTTTTTATTATTACATTTGTTGATTGCCTGATCCTCATGAATTTGGGGCTCTAGGCCGGTGGTCAGCAAACTGCGGCTCGCGAGCCACATGCGGCTCTTTGGCCCCTTGAGTGTGGCTCTTGTAGGCACTGGGCCTCCCTCCCCCGCCCTGGCCAGGCCTCGTGCCGGTAGATCGCTCTGGGAGAGAGTCACATGGCGAAGCCCCGCCCCCTTCTTCCGGCTGCCATCTGCTCAGCCTCATTCTGCTGCAGAACGAGGAGCAGGAGGGTAAGTCGGCTTCCTCCCCCGGGGACAATTGCATTCCTGTTATTGGCGGGGAGGGGAGAGGAAGGGATTTGGCCCCTCCGCTTCAAGCCGCCTCCAGCGCCCCCCCCCCCCCCCGGGGACCCCCCCCCCCCCGCCCCGGGGAAAAAATCCACATGCCCACGTGGCTGTCAACCGGCATGGCAGAGGGAGAGAGCCTTTGCACGCCCAAGGGGTCTGCTCTGGCCTCTGCCCCCAGGAGCTTACAGGCTGACCTGGCGGGAGAGGAAGAAGCAAGCAGAGCAATTGCCAGGGTCAGAAGAGAGAGTATGGAGAAGACAGGAGGAGAGCCAGCCTAGTGTGGTGGTGGTGGTTAAAGTGCTGGACTAAGATCTGAGAAATCCCAGTTGGAATCCCCCATTCTGCCATGGAAGTCTTCGACCAGTCACACTTTCTCAGCCTAACCTACCTCACAGGGTTGTTGTGAGGATAAAGTGGAGAATGATGTAAGCCGTTTGGGGTCTCTGGGGGGGGGTGAATGGAGGGCTATAAATAAATAAGAGAGAAATGGCTCCTCCCTTCCAGATGGACATTGGGCTGGTCTTTCACAGTGCCCCTATATCTGCCTGAGACAGGCCCTCTGCCCACAGAGCCACTCATGGGAGGGGTGGGGGAGATGAGCAAGAGTCATGAGGACCATCTATGAAAAAAAGGATCTGTGAGGAAGGGTGGCAGAGCTCCTTGGAGGAGGAGGAGGTTTTATTCTTGTCATAACAAACACAATCCTTCCAAGGGGGATTAGCATTGCCTGTCTCCCCTGAGCCCCTTAAAACACTGGCTGGCTCTCTTTGGCTTGCGGTGTGAATCAAGGCAGGCTGCACATGTTCCAGCAGCAATTAGCCAGCCTTGCTTTGTCCTGTGCATCGGCTTCCTCCTCCCTGGACCGGAGGCATGGAAGCTGTGAGTGAGCGATTTGGCTACTACTGCATAAATGAGTTTGCTCTGGAGCCATCCTTCCTGAGCTAAGACAAAAATGTGTGAGCTGGAGGCTAAAAAACTGTGAGGTAGCCCACACTAACTCAGCTTACAGGGAACTTTGAGTGGCCACTTTTTGTCGACTTTGCTTTCGGTGTTGCGTGCTTGAAACAGCTGAGCTGGGTAGGAAGGATTATAGTTGCCGGCCTCTGAAAACTGCACCCCCCTTGCCCATTTAACTTGTGAAAGCCACTGCCACAAGATGTGGGTGGGAAGTTTGGGGGGGGGAACCCATAGAGATGAAATATATTGTGAACTTAATCAAGCTTGCATTCAGGGACACTGAACCTCTTAATATGAAATGCTGTTGAGAGAATGGGGGAGGGCAAACAGCTCTTTGAGCTTCCAGAGGCCTCTGGAAGGCTGCAGTTGGGAACAGAATGCTAGCTGCTAGCTAAGAACCTTGAATCTTTTCCAGCGAGGCCATACATATTGATGCTCTCTAGTGTGTGCCAGTCAGTCAGCAGTCTCATTGTGCAGTGGTTAGTGTTAGTAGCGTCCGCAAATTGCCGCGGGTGACAAAAGTACCTACTCGAAGCATCAATTTAAGAATTGCAATTATTTTGTGTTGGTGGCTTTATTATAAAATGAAACTTTTTTTAGGTGCCCTGTTTGACATGGCGACAAAGAAGAAGCAAAGAAAAACGGAAGACGAAAACGGTGAATTTAAAGTTGAATGGACTGAGACTTTTGCGTTTATTCAAAACTCAAATGGCCTTCCGACCTGTCTTATTTGTCAGGAAAAATTGGCGCATAACAAGAAATCAAATTTGGAGAGACACTTTACAACTAAACATGTGTCATTTAGCACTAAATATCCTGTCGGTGATGCAAGGAAGAAAGCAGTTGAGGAACTTCAGAAGAGTCAAGAAAAATCAAGTTCTGTATTTAATTACTGGATGCAATCTTCCAACAACGTTAACATTGCAAGTTTTGTGGTTAGTCAAGAGATTGCTAAGAGAGGAAAACCATATACAGACAGCGAATACATAAAAACTTGTTTTATAAATGCATCCGAAGAGCTATTTCGGGATTTTAAGAACAAAGCAGATATTCTGAAAAAAATTAAAGAGTTACCATTGTCTGCTAAAACAGTGAAAGATAGAACAGTCAAAATGTCTTCGAATATAACCGACCAGCAAGTCAAAGATATTAAATTGGTTTCAGCTTTATCAATAGCAGTTGACGAGTCTTGTGACATAAATGATACAGCGCAAGTTTCACTGTTTGTACGATTTATTTCATCTATAGGTCCTAAAGAAGAACTGTTAGGATTATTGCCACTCAAAGGTCAAACACGTGGAGAGGATATAGCAAACGCTGTAATTGAGTGCATTGAAAAACATCATATTCCACTTGATAAAATTGTCTCAATTTCAACAGACGGGGCAAAAAGTATGACCGCCGCAAAAAAAGGTTTTGTTGCTATTTTGAAAGAAAAAATTAATCACGAGATACTTACTTACCATTGTATCATTCATCAAGAAGCGCTTTGTGCGCAGACATTTCCAGAAGAAATTTGCAACGTTATGGAATTGGTGATTAAGATTATCAACTCCATTATAGCTAAAGCTCTTAATCATCGCCAATTTAAAGAATTTTTAGTTGAAATGGAGAGTGAGTATGAAGATCTTCTGCTGCATAACAAGGTGCGTTGGTTATCAAGAGGAAAGGTTTTGAAACGTTTTGCTTCCTTATTAACAGAAATTAAAGCATTT